AAAAACCTTATTTCCTTGATTCCAAAATGCATTGATTAGTAAGATGCACCAGCAACTTAATATCAGTTTTTTTTCCAGTACTGGGGCAGGAGAAAACTCTATTAAATATGTATTAAAACATGCGGTGATTTTGAGCAAGAGATCAACTTCACAATCATTGTATGTTAGAAAATGTAACTCTTGGAATTAATCTAATAAAGTAATGATATGGTGCTTTGCATAAATTAGCTTATTTAATCCTCACAACTCCAACCCTTGTGAATCAGGTGCTACCACTGTCACAGGAGAAGAGAAGTCTTCCAAGAAGGGTCTCGGGACCTCCCAGTAGGGAGGTGGAACTTGACTCTGGACCAGTGGGGTTCTTGGTATACATGGTAGAAAAGAATTTTGGCATGAGCCTGTCAAAGGCACAGGCACAGATTTATTAGGAATGTAGGTACATATTTAAGGAGGAACGTGGACATCTCAAGAAGAGGCTTTGGGGGTAAAGCAAGGAATATGCCTTCGTGAGAGAACGCGGGCTGTCACCAGCAGCCCATTTGTGGGAGACATTAATAATTACAGCAGGCTGGTCAATGCTAGGGCTGGGCTAGAGATGGATCCAGGACAGAGTGACACAGTGCAAGATTTCCCAGCACCTGCACATTTTCCTTATTTTACAAGGGCCTGGGCCAAGGGCAGGTTGTTCAGGAGTTACAAGTATTCCTGAGTGCTTTCTGCATCCCAGTAGCTCACAGGCATTTCCTTTGAGACTTAGTATTCCTCTCCTTATTCCCCAGTTCCTCTCACCATTATCCCCATTTTACAGGACAGGGAATTGAGGTACACATAGTCCAGAGCTAGTAAGCAATGGGACTGAGACTAAAAATTGGATTTTCAGATGTAGCCCAGAGACTGATGATATGTGAGCCAAAGCCAGGCTTTCTCAGGCTTATTCCCTTCCACACCTTTCTCAGGCACCTTCCCTTCCTCCGGGAGGTGGTGTTTCCTGAACTAGGACCCAGGATCCCCCAAAAGCAAAGACATGGTTTGCAGTTGTTTGTGTTGTGCACTGTATCAAGGTACTTGGCTTAGGGGATGGGTGGGAATGAAATCCAGCTTGAGGTCTCTATTAGGATCTGAGCCCAAATATTGCTTCTAATTCCATAAGGGCTCAGCATGAGCTGATGGAGCCCCACTCAAGGGACAGAAGACAGTGGGCTGAGTAGGGAATGTCCTGCAGGGAGCAGGGTCCTCCCCGCCACTTTCTGCTGGTTCTTTTATCTAAAGAATGACCCTAGTGGATCTGTTTGTGCAAGACCTGGGGGGAGGCATCTGAGGGGCTTAGCTCTGGGGCCCTTGAAGCTATGCCTTTGGGACAAGTTCCTACTTTCCATGCCAGATTGCTCCATTAAACTTGGTGACAATGAACAGGGGAGAGAAAGTTGCATAGGAATTATAGAATCCAATAGCTTCTGGGATCCTGGAACCCAGTCCTCCTTCTTTGCATGGATTTTATTTCTTTGTTTTCCCCTTTTTGCAAACTCCTTGATGGGAAGGCAAGCTGAATCTCTTAGGAACTACATTCCAGAACAACCTGGGTAATGGAAAGTACAAAACCAACTTAAACTTGTTTCCAAAGCTTGATGGGTTACAATGACTTTTCAGAAAGCTTCCATTTAGACCCAGAAAGTGAAATAACATTTTGAGGCTTGTTGGAGAAGGGCCAGAGGGCTATGCAGCTGCCGGCATGGGCCAGATGGAAAATCCAGATGCTGGGTCTAGGGAATGAGATTCTTTCTGTGTGCACTTGAGCCCTCAAAACATCAGGCACCTCAGGACCTCCCCAAAGTTTTAACATGTTGCTGCCTAGAAGACTTTCACATTGGAGGAAGTCTAATGAATACATTACAGCATTTAGCTGGCATCAGAATGATGGTTTATGTTTTTATTTTGAAGAATGAGATGAGGGACAGCAGTAAGACAGGGGAGGAATGTCACTAAGTGGGATCTATAGCCCTTCTATCTTTATCAATTCCAGGAGTCCACCTCAGCATGCAATCTAAATTTAAAAAGCCAGCTCTCAAGAAAGTTCCTTAGCAACTCTGTGCACCAAGACTGAGCTACTATAGAGCCACACTTGTGAATGTATACATGCAGAACATGTCAATGAAAACAAAATCAGCTGTTTCAAAAACTCCTTCAGTATTCTATAAGCAGAGGCCTGATGCCCTTGGGTGCCTGTAGAGTACCTGTGCCAGTTCCTGTCCCAGCTGTGCACAGTGAGATCTCTTATGGGTGCTCAGCCTGGCTGGGGTTTTGCAGCCATGATACTGGTGGCCACAGGAATGAGAACTGCTGGGTGCTGAAGGTGTTTCTTTCTGGACTTGCTGGTAGTCACACAGGGAGTGGCAGGGGATCTCAAAAGAAGAGGTCTTTGGGAGGTCACCTGGGTATTTGAATAATCAAAGGATTCTTTTTTTTTCTTCACTTGGAGCATATTCTTTCTGCCTAGTTATAGTATAGCTCAAACCTTCGTGTTTGATAAACTCCTTAGTTATTTCTGACAGATCTGGTTGCTTCCTTCTCGGGGATTCTTAGAGGGATGTGATGGTTTTGATATAAGGTACCCCCACAAAGCTCCTATTAATGCAGAAATACTAGAGGTAAAATGATTGCATTATAAGAACAGGAACCAAATTCGTTCATCCTCGTTTGAATGGACTGACTATGTGGTAACTGTAGGCATAGCGAGAGGAGGTGGTACCCTGGAGGTATACCCTGGAAGGGTGCATCTTCCCTATGATCCCTTCCCCATTCCCTCTATATTTCCTGACCCCACCATGAGCTGAACAGCTTTCGTCTACTGACCTCTTCCTCCATGATATGCTGCCTCACCCTGGGTCCAGAGCAATGGAGTCGGGCGTCTATGAACTGAGACCTCTGAATCTGAGAGCCCCAAATAAACTTTCCTTGCTTCAACTTTCCTTGTTCTTGTCAGGTATTTTGGTCACTATCACCACACAAAAGTTTTCTAAAACAAGGGGTTTTGTGGCCATTGCATCCTCTCTGTTGAGCTCTCCCTGGTTTAGCAGAGCCACGTTACAGTTATTGTTACACTTTTATCACACAATTCATGATTCTGGTTTGGATTATAGCATAAGTTGCTAGTTTCTTGACAACTTCCAGGGCCTGCTATAGTAGGAGGGGTGAGCTAAGGGCCTTTAGGGTGGGGCCAGTCTCTGCCCTCAAGTTTGTTGTGCCATTGGAACACTGTGGCTCAGCCAATGCATGGGTCTCTTTATTGGGTCTCCCTCATGGAATGCGGGAGACCCACATTCCCTCCTCCTTCTCTAGGTGAACCAGGGAGGGAAATCCATTTGCTTTTCTTTCAGACCTTGGGAACTAAGAGGCTGCGTTGGGGTACAACAGACAACCTAGCTGAAGAAGGAGGTGTGTTTTATTTTCCACCCTTCGTCTCATAGGTAGATGCTGTCTCCTTTCCACCATCTGCTTTCAAGAGCAGCCAAATTAACACTGAGTGTATTTAAAGCTTTGCCAGCCTGGCCTCCAGACGCGGGTAGTGCCTTGTAGTTTACAAACTAGGTTCACATACTAATCTCTTTTGACTTAATGAGATGATGATTCAACTGGTTATAAATCACCAAAGCAGCATCATGCGCCACGCATGACAACCACAGAACTGGGACGAAGCTGTCACTTGAATGAAAGAAAATGATAAAGACTTGTGTTCCCCAAGCAGCAAAAGAAAATTGCTGTAAAGTTTCCATTGAGGTTCTTGCTATTGTGTCTTCAAGTCTTTAATAATCTCATTGTTAAAATGTCTAAAAAGGTTGGCTGGAGAGTCCTGCAGGTGAAATGTGCACAGAGACAATAAAGTAGGGCTCCACTCATGCTGGGTGCGATAGGGCCACCCAGTTTGACTCTATTCTTGGGAAAAGAGACAAAGGCAATGGCTTTGTAACTTCCCAGAAGCCAGAGGCAGGCTATGATCCTATACCTTGCTCCCCTGTCTCCCCTGAATCTCACCAAGGAACATGGTCCTCAGTCCTCTCAACTGGAGATGGTCTTAACTATGGAGCAATGACACAAGTGTGCACTTTGCTGAAAGTCCTGGGCACAACTAGGTATGTGATTCAGAGGCAGGGGGACATTCACAAAGAACTTCATTGCTTCCCACATGAGGTCCCTAAATTTTCCTGTCACAGTTCAAAGCCCCCACTTGCCAAATTGACACGTAGGTCTTCTCATCTCTTTCCTTCACAGGGCCACTTCACTAGCTTGACAGATGGGACTGACACGTGGGCCAGAGATGCCATCCCATTAAGAGAGTAGTGATTAGGCCACTTAGATGCTAAGTTTACCCCATTGGGCAGGATTGGAACCTCTGTCTGAGAGTCGGCTGTCATCAGACTGACTGGGGGGATGTTTGTCATTTATCCAGACTGGTTTTGTGACTGATAGTGTTATTGAAAACCTGTCATGTCTCCAGTGGGATGATCAACTGGGGCTAAGGAACTGACACTTGGGGCAGGCCTGGCTGATTGACTGTCTCTTGACGCATGAATTAGACTCTTTTAAAAGGGGACCCTTGTGTATTAGATTCTATTCCTATTGCTGCTATAACAAATTACCATAAACTTATTGGCCTGAAAAAAACTCAAAGCTATCTTACAGTTTTGGAGGGCCAGAAGTCCAAAATAAGTCTTTTTGGATTAGATGTGAGGTGTCAGCAGGGCCTCAAACACTGAGAAAATCTGTTTCCTCGTCTATCTTCTAGAGGCTGCCTGCATTTGTTTCTGACCAACCCCTTTTTCATATCCTCTGACTTCTGCTTTTGTCTTCTCCTCTCCTTCTCCTTCCTACCTCCCTTTGATAAAGACTCCTGTGCTTACCTGGGGACCCCCAGGAAAACCAAGGTAGTCTCCCCATCTTACGAGATTTAACTTAATAGTGCCAGTAAAACCCCTTTGCCACATAGGGTTATATAGTCCCAGGAGTTAAGGATTAAGATATGGACTTTTATTATAACTATTGTAGAAGAGCCACATTTCTACAAAGTTGAAGATTGAGTTGGCTTCTATTAGCAATTCATGAATTGGGCAGCTTCCCATTTATGAAATAGGAAGGGCCTCTGATGAGCTGAGCAGAGGAAGTGGGCTTCATGGGCAGAAAAAGACTGAAAGAGCAGAACTGGGTCACACACCAAATCTGTCTTCTAGAGTCATGTTTCCTTAAAGGGCTGAAACAGAGGAGAATTTCTTATCTTACTGGTTAAGTTGACCAGGTCTTTTCTGATTGAAACCCGTGAATCTCCTGGGATTTTTATTTTTTTTTAAACTGGCCCATGTCAAGTTCAGTCTGATTTTAGGTACTTGGAAGGAATGACTCCATTTTGATTGGGTCTGGTCTCTTGGGGTCTGGTGAAGGAGCTCAATCCAAAACAATGACCTCTTGTACATTTGTTGTAACACTGACTTCCCATTGGTGATTTCACTAGGGATTCAGGAATATTCAATTTCTGTGAAAAAAAAAAGATTTTTTAATTAATTTTTAAATTTGTTTTAATTAGTTATACATGGCAGTAGAGTGCATTTATGCACTTTGATATATTATACATAGATGATATATACATACATAGATGGGATATAATTTCTATATATTTATATATATACTATATATATACATAGATATATACATAGATGATATATACATACATAGATGGGATATAATTTCTCATTTTTCTGAGTGTACATGTTGTAGAATCATATTGGTCATGCAGTCACATACATACATAAAGTAATAATATCTATTTCATTCTACTATCCTTCCTATCCCCTCATCACCTCACCTCCCCTCCCATCACTTCCCTCTACCTAATCTAAGGTAACATTATTCTTCTCTAGTGCCCCCCACCTTGTTGTGAATTAGCATCCACATATTAAAGAAAACATTCGGCCTTTGGTTTTGGGGGGACTGGCTTATCTCGCTTAGCATGTTATTCTCGAACTCCATCCATTTGATGGCAAATGCCATAATTTCACTCTTCTTTAAAGCTGAGTAATATTCCATTGAGTATATATACCACATATTCTTTATCCATTCATCTATTGAGGGACACCTAGATTGGTTCCATAGTTTAGCTATTGTGAATTGAACTGCTATAAACATTGATGTGGCTGCATCAAGGTAGTATGCTGATTCAAATGGTAAAGAAATAAAATACATGCTTACAAAAATGAAAAAGAAACCATAAAAAACTTACTTAAAAATCTCTCTTCATCTCTAATTTCTAATGCTCCTGGTTCCCCTTCCTAGAAGTGAAACTGTGTTCATTAACAACTTTTAGTGTATCCTTTTAGTGAGAGTGCATGCATCATACACAAGCATATATGCAACCATGTGTGCCTATGTGTAACTTGCCTATTTAAAAAGACAAAACAAATGGTAGCTTGTTTCTGTGCTGCTGTATTTCTCAGTGATCTGTTCATATCACAGTCAATTTACTTGTCCTTTCTAACAGCTGCATAGTCTTACAGTGCATCCAGGTCTCATAAAGTAGATGCACCTCTACTTATGATGGAATTACATCCACACAAACTCATCAACAATTGAAAATATGTAAGTCCAAAATGAACTCAATGCACCTGCCCTGCCAAACATCCTAGCTCAGCCTCACAGCACACTGTGGGGTGCTGGTGGTTTCCCCTCATGATTATGGGGCTGACTGAGGGCTGCAGCTTGGAGCTGATGCTCAGCATTGCAAGAGGATGTGGTATGGCATGTCACTAGCCCAGGACAAGATCCAAATGCAAAAGGCAGTGTATGGTTTCTACTGAATGGAAGGCATGTCATTTTGCACTCTATGAAGTGGAACCAGAGTCATCATTACTTGGGGACATCTTTTATATGTAATCAGCCCCTTCTTGAGAGACCTTTATATAATTTTGTTTTAAGCTGGAACAAGCAGGACAGCAGCAAATGTCTTTTTACACTTATCTTTGCACACACGTGCTGATGTATCTATGGGGCAAACTCTTATGAGTGACATTGTCATTTCCCAAACTAGGTGCACCTTAAGTTTTTGATAATAGCCACATTCCTTCCCAGATATGCATATGAACATACATTTGGGCACTGTTCCACCTGGGCTTGGCCCAACTGCATGCTCAGCAGGGCTCTGCCATGACACTCACTGATAGCCTCTGGGGCATTTTGTCATAGCCCTGTGTCTGACATGTCCACCCTCTAGGAAGTAGTTCACAGCTTGGGAGTTGAGTCAGAGATCATGAGTTCCCCCCACAAACCCAGACAAGCCACTGTAACCCTGAACCCAGAGTTGCAACCAGTATAGACGTGTTCACACGAAGCGTTATTCATCAAGCACAATATGTTAAAATGCGGCATCATATGCTGATGATGGCACACTATGTCTCCTTGAGAACCTCTGATTTCTTTTGTCCCTCCAGCTCATGGGACCTAGACAGTGAGACTCTGATCTGAGTACTGCAGTGGCAGGCTATTCTGGGAAGAACAGACCTGACAGAGGCATCACATTTGCTGGAGACTGCAGCCACCCTGGCCGGGGCCAGACTGCTTGGATGGTGACACAGCTATTGTTTGTGAAAGAGATTTGATGCTTCATTAGAGAAAAAACTGTGTACAGAAACCCGGCAGAGATTTCTTAACGGCCTTCTGATTAAAGGAGCAAACAACCTAAATGCCAGATTAGTAGCATTTCGGGGGAGAATGCACGACGGGAACCGCATTTCTATTTTCTCCTTTCCCTCAGCCTTGCTTGGCAGCTTGCATTTGTCACTTTGAGAAAAGGAGAAAGGGGCTGGCTGATGGAGCAGAGAAGGAGCTGGGAAGCCAAGCCAAGCCTGGAATCCTGTAGCTCTCTGGCAGCCAGAGGGGACAGGCTGGAGCTCCTGATAGAGTATGTCCTGCTCCCAGTCCCAAGATACAATTCTGAAGTTCAGTGCATTGCCTGTATGCATGGGTCTTTCCACCAAGAACCTTCCAGAGTGGTTGAGGAGGGGGCTTCTGGGGTCCCAGAGTGACAACCTCGTCATGCACACAAATGGTTTTTCTCATTTGACCTCAGAACATGGTAGAAAGATATGGAAGGAACCCAAGTGTGTCCCCCAAACCACGCTTCCAACTTGCGGTTGAAAGAGACTGCAACCACAGGCCTGTGCTTGACCACCCTGTATCTCTTTATGCAAGCTTTTTAGGGAGATTGGTTAGTTTTCTTAGACCTTTAAGATGATCAGGGAAGAAATTTGGCCAATCAGTGTCAAGAATCTCTGTGGATGATGAGGAAATTTCCCAAATCATTGGCCCAAGGGATCTTTAGAATGCAAATCAAATAAATTGTAAATTCCAAACATCTTGCCCTAGCCTTCCCACTCCCCCCCCCACTATGACTCAATACTTTCATTACAAGTCTCTCCAGCCTGTTGCTCATATACATTGCCACACTGGCCTTCTTGTGGCCTTTTAACTCACTAAGCTTGTTCTTGCCTCGGGACCTTCATCCTGCCCTATTATCTTCCTGAAATGCTCTTTCTGGTCTCTCTTAGGTGGATTCCATTGCAGTCTTTATTGTTTAGTGTTATATGTAACTATGATTTGTCTGTTCATTGATTGCTTCCTGGCCTATCATGTTTCTCCTCACTAGAAGGTGAATTCTCAGTGGGCTGAGACCTGGTTAAGTCATATCCAATGCTGGTAGAGGTCAGAATCCAGTCAGGGAACAGGGTGGTTCCAGAGAGGCAATGCCATGTGGGGAACTAAGTAGCAAGGTGCTTTGGGATGAATGGAAAGGCCAAGTAGGCCACCTAGGGTTCTCAAGAGAAGGGACTTGGGTCTTACATGGTAGGGGGGAAGTGGTACCATGAAGGAGACCCAGTCACTGCTGAGGAAAAGGGAGAGGGAGCAGGAAGGAGCCCGAGAGAGAGAGGCCGACAGACTCCAGATCCTCCCTGTCCTTCCACCAGCTCTCTCCAGTGAGGAGCCATTGGCAATAGTGCCTGGGGTCTGTCCCTGTGAATGCACTCCAATGACTGTGCCCAGCTTTGTCCCCAGCATCTCTCTAAGTCCTTGGCACACAAGAGGTTCTCAATAAGCAATTGTTGAATAGATGAACAAATGGAACACACCAGTGCACAGGTGTCCATTCCAGTGGCAATTCTAATGGCTCATGTGTTCTGCAATTAAAATGCCAGAGCCCCAGAGGGAGTGGCTCTGAGCGCTTCCTGTCACACCCTTAGACACTGGCAGCTCTGAACGTGGGGAGGTCTCTTTCTCTACTGCCCTCGCCAGGAGGACAGAGAAGGATTTTTTTCATTTCTGGAAATAACACTCTTTCAGAAGCCTTTGAACCTGAGCCTGCTGACACTTTTATATGTGCTGTGTTGTGTTACTTGAGGAATTCCTTTGAAGGCGACTTCAAACTTTTATTCCTTGGTTCAATTTTAAAATTTGTAACATTTGGGACCCTTCCCAGAGCCCCAGATTTATTCCAGGCATATGGGTGTTAGTGGGAGAGAGGAACCATATCCAAATTTCACATCTCTGGTGATAGATAGTTATCTGGGGTTCTGGGGAATAGATTTTACATATTGGAACCTTCATTTGTCTGCAAGATGTAGCTAAGACCATCTTAACAGGAATATGAAATAATGACATAAAAAACAAGCTAAAGCACCAGCACAATTGAGGCAGGTGAAGATGTTTATTCCTTTTCCCCAAACCCTGGGCATTGGTTCAGATATCCCCAACCCCACATCCCACCGGTGGCTCATCGCAGCCTCTGCATTGATCTCAGGCTTCTTTCCATTGATGGATTTGATTTGAGCCGAGGAGGTGGTTGGCCATTTTCTCATACATCTCTTTCTCCTTGTGACATTTTGCCTCTCTAAAGAAGTAATTGTGGGTTTTCCACAAATTTTCCTTTAAGGATTTTGTACATTAGAAACAAATTTGTAATCTGCCTAATCTGATTTATGTGGGTCATTTATGAAATGCATATTTGTCTTTTTCCTCTTTTCCCCTTTCTTTCTTTTCACTGAGGTGGTTAACTGCTTCCTCCCTGGAATTTTACGTGAGGGTTGAATTTTGAGTGGTAATAATTTTTTCCCATTTCAATGTTAGGGTTGATTGGTGCTTTCTCAAAGCTGTGTAAGTACCTTTTATTATAGAGAGTCTCAGCAGATTAGAATCCAGGGACTTTTATTTAAAACTTCTAATGGAACAATGACACCAGCCTGTAATTAAGGCATTTCTGGGAAGTTACTTCAATTGAGTTTCAGAAAGGAAGGTACCAGCTCAGGGAGCTGGTGCTAAATTCATGGGAGAGAGAGAGACATGGGAAGCTGTGCTCCCTTCTTGGTGATGTGGGACATATCCTGTCTTTGCATCTGAATGGTTAATAAGACCATAACCAAAGGGCACCCTGAAAGATACCCTGTATGTTAGGTCTCCAGAACTTTCCACTGCCCCTCCTGGTCAGCCTCATGAGACACTGATGAGAAACATGCTGTAGCTTCCAAAACAGTTAATCTCTTCCCTGTCTCTCTATAGCACCAGACTTATAATCAAGCTCAGGATGACATCAAATTTCTCTGGCTTCAAAATGAACAGGTTAAGCCAGGGGCATGCCTGTAACCTCAGTGACTTGGGAGGCTGAGGCAGGAGGATTGCAAGTTTAAGGTCAGCCTCAGCAACTTTGGGAAACCCTGTCTAAAAAAGAAAAATTCAAAAGGGCTGAGAATGTAGCTCAGTAGTAAAGCACCCCTGGGTTCAACCCCCAGTACTAAAAACAACAACAAATAAAAAATTTGAAAAAGCTGGTTAAACCTTTTTTGTCCCCTGCTCTTCCACAGCAGAGTCATCGTGTTTTCCTTTTTTGGAGGCAACATCAGAGCAGTCACACAATGGAATTTCCCACAAGTCTAGAATTTCATCAGCCTTCATTCATGACTTTAGTACTTTCCATTTTGAAGGACAAATTTGTCCTATTTTGAGTGTTGAAGGAAAAATAGCAAAATCCCAATTATGAGTCTGTGCACTTAAGGAATTGTGTAATGGGATTAAAGGGCAGGAAGACACAACCCTTTCTCAGATGTCTCCTTTCCACAGGAGGACAGCAAAGTCCAAGGGCAGCAGATCCTGGACAGGAGGGGTGGAGGAGCCAGGCCTTTGAACGCTTGTTGAGTGGGAAGTTGGAAAGAGACCAATTGAACTTCTTTTTTCAAGCACTGCCACTCCTAGGATCTCCTCCTTGTCCTTTTTATTTTAAAAGCACTTCCGTATGTTATTTTATTAAACCTCCACTGCAACTCTATTCATTTAACATTCTTATTAGGTAATCCATAGTGTTCTAAATATGATTGAATTTGGTAAAAGAAATGAAGAACCACCTATTGGGGGCCTTTTAAACATCTTTATTTTTTAAATTCTCATACAGTCAAGACGACTTGTTTCCTTGTGGTGCACTGGACTGGGGCCATTAGCATCTGCATGCAGGCACATGCCCTCTGCTGCTCCTGCAGGACCAATAGAATATTTCTTCACTCATCTAATTCCCTCCCTCCACCTAACCCCTGGCAGCCACCAGTCTGTTTCCCATTACTATAGTTTTGTCTTCTCAAGAATGTCAAATAGATAGAATTCACAGTATGCGACTTTTTGAGATTGGCCTCTATGGTGGACATTTTTCTTGACTGAGAACTTTTATTGAAAATAAGCAATCGGTTGAATTCACTTGTCTGCCAAACAGTGTTCGCAGGTAGAAATTTGTGAAGATGACTTTGCACAAGCATATGGGGTCATCTATTTTATCACGAAGGCAAATTTTTATGTAATATTTGTTTTGAAGTTTCATTTAAAGTAGACTTCCTCATGGGTAGACTTCCAAACTATACCTACTAACAGTGTGATGTTGAAATAACGTCCATTAAAACATGACAAATTGAAATGAAATCTTTTATTTTATGGGCCAGGCACCTGTTAACAGCTCTGTTGTTTTATTTACCCACATATTCATCCTTAGGGGATCTTCTGTTTAAAGTCCTTGTTATACCTTTTGTTCAAGCTCAGGAGTTAGAATGACTCCTTAAAAGAGAATTTTCTCAGGAACTTGGTGGCAGGGGTGGCTTTGAGACCTTTATCTCTGTCCCAGACACTAACACCTAGTGGATCTTGGTGACTTCCTGCTGCCCTCCATTTCCCTTGCATAAGTACAGGTGGCAGTTGTGTGCTTGGAGAGCAGCCAGCTGGAGTTCCAGACGCCTGCTGATGATCAGAACATTATCAACTTAGTGAAGTGTGCTGGAGCCCTGGTATCCTCATATGCTGGCCATGCATCTGCAGCGTATCTCTGAGGCTGGCCCCGGCCAGGAGAATGGGCTGTCTGCACTGGGGGTGGGAGACAGTCTGGGTAAAGGTAGGAAAAGAGCTATTTCTGGGTGGTTTGCTTGCCATGAAGGTAATTGGGAGAATGGATTTGGGGATCTCAATCTGACAGCCACCAGGAGACTTCCCAGACAGCCAGAGAAGATAAGCCTATCAAGAGGCTGTCTGCCGTGTTAGGCCCAGGATTGTCACTGCAGCCAGGCAAGGCTTTGGTCCTCCCAAAAGAAGAGTAAGCTACTTGCATCATTCTTTCTCAAAGTGCTGAGGAATCATAGACTCTGAGGCCATACTGGTGACACCTACTGTGTCATCTGATCAGTCAGACTTCCTTTTGGCCTAGTAGGTAGCTGGCAGTCACTTTTGAGATGCAAGCTCTGGGTTGTGTCAGGAAGCTATTTCTTCATCTGTCAAGAAAGCAGGTTGTAATGAGAATAAGCTTAGCCTTGTAGTTGAAGCCTTAGGTCTCCTTTAATTGGTCCATCTGTCAATTGAAAGGCTATGACTGATAGCTGTAATTAACCATTATTAAGAGGAGGCATTAGATTATTGAGAGTTGAGTAGTTAGGAGCAGTGATCTGGAGCCAAACCACCTGTTTTCCCACCTTGGTGTGTGGCATGATGATTCTTGGGCAGATTGCATACATTTATGGACCTTGATGTCCCCATCTGTAAAACGGCATGGCAATAATATGTCTGTTCTTCATGGTACTGCTGTCAAGATTAAATTAGTCAAGGCATGTTGTGCAACTAACAAATACACCCCCCCATTATAAACTAACTTTGGGTACTCTTTTTTTGGCCACCTCTATCAATGTGTTGTCACATTCAGGCTAAGAACTACTGATCTGCCTGATGGTCTCACTTTATGGGAAAAAGCTGAGATCTGTCTGGGAAAGTTCAGTGATGTCCCCAGAGGAAGACCAGGACTAAAGGTATCCATTGACTCTCAATCCTTTGTTCACACAGTACAGCAGGAAGCTGATTCTTGTTACAAACTGTTTGGGTTGGGCACTTTGTTAACTGGAAACCTCTATTAACTTGGGCTCTTGTGCCTTGTCAAGACAATTGTAATTAAGTTTCAGATCAACCACTGCAAGTCACTGGATGTCACTTCAGCAGAGTTTTCGTATCAAGCTTATTTTTGCTGTGCTCATCTGTTTACATAATGACCGTCCACATACAAAGAAGGGGCAGGTCATAATTAACTGGAATGTGTGCTTAGCAAGAACTTCTCAAACGCCAACCCAGAGTGATAACGGAATTTATTGTCACTCGATCCCCTCGGCTAGCCCATCTGTGTCAACTTGTTTTTCTCTGGTGTTCATCCTTTCCATCCAATTGTTCCAGTGACGAGCAACATGGCTTAGTGATGACAAGTTTGTTAATAGGGGAGCTCAAGATAAAGCAGTGGCAACTCCCTGTGCCCTGAGAGTTTTCCGTCTGCCTGTTGAGTGATCTGAGAACCTGTCAGCCCTTTCAGTTGATGTGTGCGAAGTGCCGGGCGTGGGGAGGAACACTTGTGTGTCCAGCTTGCACATGTCTGTGCTCAGCACTCCCCCAGCCCCTGCCAGAAAAACCTCCCTCTCTCTCTTTGCAGACAATCCTCATGCCAACTCCCATCTGAAAAAGAAATGCTTGTGATTTGGAAATGTATTTTCTTCTATGCACAGAAGGTGTTTTGAGTTTTGGCTTTTGCCCAGTCCACAAATGAGAGAACTCACAGTTGTCCATATGAATGATCTGTAGTCAAGTTGAGGATCTCAAATTGGCTCCTCCTGTCACCGATCAAGTTTCTGGACTAGGCAGCATCATCTAACATTGCTGAAACAAATGTGACAGGTAGGAGAGGTGGAATTAACACAGATCCCGCGCCTGCCTCTCTGCACAGGTCTAGTTTGTGCTGTCTTGGTGCAGGCTCTATTCCCTGGAGAACTGTTTGCAGGGCAGGTATGTGCTGCCTCTGGTTTACCAATGCAAGGTACCCACATCTTTGTGAAACAGCAGCAGTTGTTGGCACGTGCAGGGAAGGGTCTACATGCATTCCTCTTTGCATTTCCATTCATCTTATTAGGGCAGTGCAAACCTTGAAGTGTGAATGAGCTGGGAGTATGGCTGAATGAGCTCAGACTTGCTGAGCAGGCTGATTCAGGAAGCCATTCTCAACTCCCCTGCTGCTCACCATGTGCAGACACCCTTCCTAAGTGAACGTGGCATTTGTGTTGGATGAAGGCCATAGCTCGGTATGAAATGTGACTACATGTCTACTCTAATCCTCAGGGGGCACCTCTCTCCACTTATGGTGTTTTAAAGGACATGGGTACTGTTGGACTCACACAATATTTAGGACAAAGGCATTTCAGACAGAGATGGAAGGTATGATTAGCTTAGAAGCCTCACCTCAAGAGAGAGAGGTGTGAGGACTTGTGAAGTTTTAGTAACCCCTGCTCCACACATCCCATTTCTAATCAAAGGTGCAAAAACTTTCTGCAGAGCTAGTATCATTGCCCCATATAGGGGTATTCATGGATCTGTACATCCCCTGTTTCTAGTGGCTCACACTATAATTTTAAGAATGAATGATCTAAATTTAATTGAGAGCCTTCCTTCTAAGGAAGTTTTGGAAGTATCCTTGGGTGCCATGGAATGCCATCTGTTTATTCATTGATCCCCATGAATTACAGAAGTCACTCTAGATGACAATATAAAAGTCGGGCATTACCAGGGTCTTGTGGTATGCCCCTTGATCCAGCATTGTAGGACACAGACCCACATGGTGAGAAGGTTGTGGAAACACACATGTTCTCTTGAGCATAGGGAGAAAGTCCCCCCCACCAGGTTCCACTCCCCACCAGCCTCCAGCCTCAGATTGTGCTTTGGTTGAGGTAACAGCAATAAGGTAGAATCTAACTGCTTGGGTTTTTCTTTTCTTTCTTTCTTTTTCTTTTTTCCTGCATATTTAGAATTACTTTCTAGCAAGATGGGCTGTGCATTTCTGATAGTAATATGAATTTCCATTTAAAAATTAATTTAGGAGGATGTTATTTAAAGAAAGAAAAATTATGCAACTAACTGTGCAGGTAGAATTCGTTACCAACATGCTGTCAGCACAGGACAGGAAAATACTGTGGCCAGAGGGGATGCTCGCACTTGGATTCAATCAGGCCGGGTTCCTCCCGCATCCTGTCAGCCCTGCATCATTTTTGGGCGAGGCGTGCAGACCGCTAGCCTGTGCAGGTCCCTGTGCTAAGTGAGTGCCATTCATCCACCCTGTGTCCTCATCCAAATCACCCCATGAGATGCACAGATAACAATTTGCTGTTTTAAAGATGAGAAAACTGGAATTTAGAGATGGTAATTGATTTTTCCAATGATGCTTGGCTGGTAAGAGGCAGAGCCAGTGTGGACACCAGCTATTTAGGGCCAGACCCTAGTGCTTGCCCCTGCATCACCTTGAATTTAGCAGCAGGGAATTAGTCACTCCAGTTTACTGCTGTTGATGAACTGAGTTTATAGTGAGGGAAAAGAAAAACACATTATTAAAGAAGAGACAGAACAGCAAGTGCCTGGACTTGAGACCCACACGTACTCCCCATGTGATGTCCTAATCTTCACCTCTGTTTCAGTGTCCTTTCTGCCTCTGCCTCTTGAAAATCAGTCCATGTTCTTGAAATCCCTAGTTTGCTCATTCAGATGGGATTTTGTATTCTTTCTCTCACCGTCTGGATCAAAGCCTTTGGATTTGGGATGCACTTGGCTTAGACATACACCAATATTTATACCTTGATGTGAAGGTTTTTTTTTTTTTTTTTTTTTTTTTAAACAGAGGCATCCCTTTACAGCTAGGTTTGACTTGAGAGTTCATCAGCAATATTCTTGCATATTAATCTTGAGTCTTGGAGGATAAAGTGTGCTTTCTATAAATATACACATTATTCAGCTTCGCTGAATGCATCCATTCCTTTTTTAAAGTTTTCGGAGTAAATTTCACAGCCATCAGGATATTACTTAAGTGGGTACATCTTAGTAAACCTCCAAGAATGTGATGAACTCACTTTACAAACTGTTAATGCTTACAGAAACGTGATAAATGAGACCATTTAAGACCATTTCATGGTTTCATAACAAAACAGGAGAAGTCAGCCTGTTGGTGCTGGTCCCATTCTCTGATATTGTGAGAAATAAATGAATGTTTATCACTAGCCATGATGACTTTAATTTGAGACTTTTTTAAAAGCCATTATGGATATTTACAGAGGAGTAATGCTGACGTCTTTTTCCATGTTTTTGGCTAATAGACTCCTCTAAAAAGAGGATCATAAGATTGTTCTGAGCCCATCAAAGAAAAGTTTGAGTTTTCTCTGCTGTAATTTTAGCATTTTAATATGCCTGTGTCATAACCTAGTCCATATAAAAAATTTCTAAAAACAATCAATGGGCAGTCTCCACCTCCCGTCAATCGCTTTTTACCTCACGCTCCAAGGGACTTATGTACTTTTTACTACAACGTCTTCCAAACAGGGAAGGTATCCCTGGTGGGTCTGACTTGAAAGTAGGGAAAGCTCATCTTGCCAGATGTAGGAATGTATTCAGCTTCAGTGGCCAGGGGGCAAGGCCAGTTGTGTTTCTTATCAGAACTTCTAGTTTTGGGTTGCTGTAGGCTGGAGCCTAGGAGTCAGGGGCGAGCATTGGGCACCTAGAAGGGCAGGTGGTCACATAGTTGTTCCACAGAAGAAGGCTGCCCTCTGTTTCCATGGCCTTCACCTAGCCTACTTCCCATGGTCTGCGAGTTTAACCTACAGGAGTTCACACACACCTGCCCTGCACACAGGTGAGCTGTGAGGTGTGACAAGGGATTACAGACAGCCAAGGCCTGTGAGAAGAAGGCTTGGCTTGAGCTCTGGAGGATGAGTGAAAGTCATTGGATGAAAGAGGGCTTTGTGGCGTAGGGGAGATGGGATGTTCTGGACAAGGGGCCAGCATTTGTCAAGGCCTGGTGGGGACCCAGAGGAAGGCACACCTGAGTTCCCCCAGAAAAGCCCAGTATGGCAGTAGCTGCAGAGGGAAGGGAACCTGTGGACAAATATCAGGGTTGCAGCAGGGATCAAACCTGCCTCTAATGGAGGCTTGGGGACGCTGAAGGAAGAGCTTCCTACCCAGGATGCTGTGTGCGGCAGTGCTGAGCTGAAGGAAGATGGCTTCCTACCCAGGATGCTGTGCGTGGCAGGGCTGAGCTGAAGGGAGAAGCTTCCTACCCAGGATGCTGTGCGCGGCAGGGAGGAGCTGAAGGGAGAAGCTTCCTACCCAGGATGCTGTGCGCGGCAGGGAGGAGCTGAAGGGAGAAGCTTCCTACCCAGGATGCTGTGCGCGCAGGGCTGAGCTGAAGGGAGAAGCTTCCTACCCAGGATGCTGTGCGTGGCAGAGCTGCTGCCCCAGAGAGGCCTGGAAGATTCTGAGACAAATGGAGTCATCAGCACAGACAGCAGCCAAAGAAGCCCCCCCCCCCTTCACTCGGCTCGGGGAGGGGCAGTGCTGGCTTCTCCATGCTTGCCCGACCTTCCCGAGGTGCATGCCTGAGCTTGACATGGTGCCTAGGGCTGTCCCAGACCCAAGCTCTGGGCCCTGATTTTGGTCAGCCACTCACCCAGTCCTGTGTCTGCTCGGCTGGCCGCTGTCTCTTCTCCTGGGCGCTCCTCCAGCCTGTGGCGCCTCAAGGTCTCACACACGCTGCTGGTGCCAGAGCCAGGTTGCAATCCCCACCTGCTTGGCTTGGACCTGGCTCCAGCAAGAGAGAGGGCTTGGGAGCTCTGAGAAAGAGCCGCAGACAAGGGGGAGGGTCAGAAGAGAAGGACATCCCCTAGTGTCCAGCTCAGGCTCCTGGAGCATGTGGCCACTGAACAGGACCTGAAAAGACACGTGGCTTTAGTAAGTGCAGATGGGATGGGGGCTGGGTGTTTGGAAATGGGAACACAGGTGTGGCTGGGGTTCCCACGGCATCAGTGACCATGAGTCACAGGGAGGACTGCAGGTGATACCTGAGACGATGTTTAATATGTATTAGATAAATACATGGCTTCTTTTCTAAACAAAAAAAAAAAAAAAACAAAAACAAAAAAACTGCCTCTGGACTTAATTCCCCTGCCATCTTGATGGGTAAAGAAAAAAGAAGTGAGGGATAGGACGAAGGGGTGGGAAGAAAGTGGAAGGAAGTTGGAGAGAAATCTCAGTGATGACAATCAAAAATAAGCATTGCCCAGAGTGTGTTTTAAGGATGGTTTAAAGGACCTGGCCAGTCCTAAGACTGGGACTATAAAACATAGCAATGAAGTTGACCTTCCTGTTAAACTACACTGGGGTCTCTCTGCCCTTTACTTTCAGCAGCATCATAACATCCCGGGACACATATGGGGCAGCTTGGAGAAAGTCCTTCAGACCTCCCTGAGTCATCCCAGCCCCAGGCAACCACTGTCTGTGAATCCATCTATTTTGCATTCTATGGATTTGCTTGTTGTACACATTTAATATAAATTGAACCACTCATTGCCGTTAAGGTTCTCTGCAACCCATTGAAACATACATAGAGTTATGGGGCAATCACCTATGTGGCTGCAGCTAGTGATCATCTCCAGCACTGTCGGCCTCAGTGCTAGAGATCAAGGCACCCTGGACGCGGGCCTCCTAGCTTTTCTTTTGCTCTGTGTACCTGCTGTGGTTCCGTATTCTGGATTAGGAGAATTCTTTCTATACAGGGCCACCATGTACTGCACAATTGGGTAGATTGGGCACTGGCCTGAGTGCCCAGCTAAAGCCATAAGACAGTTCAAATGCAGTT